TGGGGGCCTCTTGGGGGCCTCTTGGGGGCCTCTTGGGGGCCTCTTGGGGCCTCTTGGGGGCCTCTTGGGGGCCTCTTGGAGGCCTCTTGGGAGCCTCCTGGGGGCCTCTTGGGGCCATCTTGGGGCCTCTTGCGACCTCTTCAGAAGCGCAAATGAGCGCTGCCCCCTGAGAAGGACAAAATGAGCCCAAAACCTTTGTAAAATCAATGATTTTGCTATGAAGGACGATGAGCGCGGCCCCCTCAGAAGCCCAAAATGGGCCCAAAACCCTAGTAAAATCAATGATTTTGGCTTCAAAGAAGAGCAGGGGGGCCAAACGGTCTCCCCCCCTCGGGACCAGAATCCTCGTGAGGGTCGTCGTTTTTTAGCCCTCCCAGGAGTCGAAAAAAAAACCTGCCACCACTCGGCCCGCCCTCTCCATGTCCAGGGGAGGGGGTAGGGGGAGGGGTAAACCCCTCCCCGAATGGGAAAATAGGGGGTTAGGGGGTTGAGAACAGAGAGAGCTCCCTAAACCACTCACGCCCAAAGGGCTGGTGGGATTATTGCTGATCCGCCCCACCGTTGTTGTTGAACTCTCATTCTTGAAGAATAATTATTGTTGATCCCCCCCACCGGTGCACATTGTTTTTTTCAATTGAAGTGCCCCCCCCGGGGCTCGCACCCTGTTTTCTGTCAAGGAAAGTCTTCCTGCTCAAACTGGGCCCCTGGCCCCCGGGTTACAACAACAACGGCTCCCGCCTGAGACTTCCTTACAATTTAGCCAGGACCCCCGCTCCTGCCCGAGATTTCTTCGCATTTTATTGAAGAATCGCGCTCTCGCTTTGGACTTCCTTACGATTTATGCAGGAATCGCTCCTCCTGCGCTCTGGAGTCGCGCTCTCGCTGGAGACTTGCTTGCAATCTACTGAAGAATAGCGCCCTTGCGTTGGAATTTCTTGCAATTTACTCCAGCGCCGCGCTCCCGACACCCAGGCACCCTGGAGTCGCGCTCACGCTTAAGACTCCTTCACAGATTACTTAGGAATCGGGAACTCGCTGCCCTTCGTGGCCCCGTTGCAGCCCTTCGTGGCCCCCTCGCTTTGTTTCGTGGCCCCGTTGCAGCCCTTCGTGGCCCCCTCGCTTTGTTTCGTGGCCCCGTTGCAGCCCCTCGTGGCCTCCTCGTTGCCCTTCGTGGCCCCGTTGCAGCCCTTCGTGGCCCCCTCGCTTTGTTTCGTGGCCCCGTTGCAGCCCTTCGTAGCCCCCTCGCTGCCCTCCGTAGCCCCGTTGCAGCCCGTCGTGGCCCCATTGCAGCCCTTCGTGGCCCCCTTCGCTGCCCTTCGTGGCCCCGTTGCAGCCCTTCGTGGCCCCCTCGCTTTGTTTCGTGGCCCCATACTTGTATGCACTCCGTGGCTCCCGCTCGTTCGCGCCCGTGGTGGCCCCATATGCATGCCCTTCGTGGCCCCGCTGTCACCCTTCGTGGCCCCCTCGCTGCCCTTCGTGTCCCCGTTGCTGCCCTCAGTGGCCCCGTCCTTTCCCTCCGCGGCCCAACATACGTATGCCCTTCGTGGCCCCCGTTCGTTCGCGCCCAATGTGGCCCCATGTGCATGCCCTTCGTGGCCCCGCTGTCGCCGTTTGTGGCCCCTCAATTGTCCTACGTGGCCCAGGTGCTACCCTCAGTGGCCCCATCGTTGCCCTCTGTGGCCCCGCATTATCTGCCCTTCGTGGCCCACGCTCGTTCGCGCTCTTCGTGGCCCCATACGCATTCCCTTCGTGTCCCCGGTGTCGCCCTTCGTGGCCTACTTCGTGTCCTTCGTGGCTCTGCTGTCGTTCTCTCGCTCTCGCTTTCGCTCGTCGTCGTCGTCGCCGTCGCCGTCGTTGCCGTCGTCGTAGACGTCGTCGTCGTCGTCGTCGTCGTCGTCGTCGTCGTCGTGGTCGGTCCCCTGTCCGTCCCTCTAAGGGTCGGGTCGACGGTCCGCGGCCGCCCCGCCGATCAGCACTGCCGCTGGCCAGGCCGACGGTCCGCGGCCGCCCCGCCGCTTGCCGGGGCCCGGCCTGCAGGGAAGAAAGGTATACCCCCCGAAAAGGGCGGGTATCGAGGGTATGGGAAATTCGCGTTATTCGACACTCGAGCAGATAAGGGCGAACAGTCTTAAAATGATTGTTGTTGTTGTTGTTGTTGTTGTTGTTGTTGTTGTTGTTGTTGTTGTTGTTGTTGTTGTTGTTGTTGATGAGCTCTCCTTTTGAACAATAAATATTACTGATCCCCCCTCACCGGTGCATGTAGTTTTTTCTCAATCAAAGTGTGCCCCCTGGGGCTCGCACCCTGTTTTTTGACAGGGAAGGTCTTCCTGCTCAAACTGGGCCCCTGGTTCCCTGGATTGCAACAGCGGCTCCCGCCTGAGACTTCCTTTGCATTTGCTCAAGACCCCCGCTCCTGAGACTTCCGCACAAGTTACTCAGGATCGGTGCTCCCGCCTGCGAATTCTTGGCAATGTAGTCAGGACCCCCGCTCCCATATGAGATTTCTTTACAATTTGCTCAGGAACGGCGCTCCCGCTTGAGATTTCCTCGCAATAGAGTCAAGACTTCCTTGCAATGTAATCAAGACCCGCGCTCCCGCCAGACAGCCCCTCACATGTTATTCAGGAGTTGCGCGTTCGCTTGTGAATTCCATGTAATTTATTCAGACATCGCGCTTTCGACGCTCAGGAAACACGCTGCGCCAAGGACGCCGTTCCAATTTCCTTAGTAATCGCGCTCTCGCCATACTCAGGCATCCCGCTTGAATGTCCCACCCGCCCGACACGCCCGTCAGGGGATCGCCCGCCCGTCGTGGGTTCCCGCCCGAGACTTCCTTCAGGAACGGCGCTTTCGCCTTCCTGCTCCTCCTCCCTCTCTCTCTTCCCTCCTCCCTCCTCTCCTCCCTTTTCTCTCCCTCCTCTCCCTCCTCCCTTCTCCCTCCCTTTTCCTGCCTCCTCCCTCCCTTTTTTTTTTTTTTCTCTCTCTCTCTCTCTCTCTCTTCTCGCTCTCTCTTTCTCTACCTCTCTTATCTGTCTTTCTCTCTCTCTCTCTCTCTCTCTCGCTGCCTCTAATCAGCCGCCCCCCTCTTCGCTCCTTCTCTCCTGGCGTGTTCCCTCTTCCTTCGTCCCTCCCCCTCCCTTCCTCCCAGTCTCCCTCGTTCTCCCCCTCTTCTTTTTGCAGGGCCCACACCCTTTCCAATGGCGGGCACATGTACGCCCGCGAAGGATTGTCCGCCCGTTCAGGTTTGCCCGCCTGTCTCAGCCCGCCGCCCCCCGCAAAGAGAAGCAATCCCCCCAAAGGGGGCGTGATCGAAGACACAAAGGGCGGGCATCGAGGGTCTGGGGAACTCGTTTGGAATCACACACGGGCAAGTAAGAGCGAACAGTCTTATAATGATTGTTGTTGTTGGTGTTGTTGTTGTGTGTGCTGTGTGTTATATGTTGCGTGTTGTGTGTTGTGTGTTGTGTGTTGTGTGTTGTGTGTTGTGTGTGTTGTGTGTTGTGTGTGTTGTGTGTGTGTGTGTGGTTGTGCTTGTGGTTGTGCTTGTTGTTGTGCGTGTGTGTGTGTGTTTGCGTGTGTATATGTTTGTGTGTGCGTGCGCGCGCGTGTGTGTGTGTGTGTGCCTGTCTGCGTGTGTGTGTGTGTGTGTGTGTGTGCCTGTGTGCGTGTGTGTGTGTGTGTGTGTGTGTGTGTGTGTGTGTGTGTGTGTGTGTGTGTGTGTGTGTGTGTGTGTGTGCGTGCGTGCGTGCGTGCGTGCGTGCGTGCGTGCGTGCGTGCGTGCGTGCGTGCGTGCGCGCACGCGCGTGTGTGTGTGTGTGTGTGTGTATGTGTGTATTTTCCTGAATGCAAGCATTTCAAGACAAGTACATACAAGACAAGACAAAATGATGCGCTAGCGCTAGCCCGAGCCCTTTTTCGGTAATTGCGCGCAGATCTTGCATGTTTGACATTTGCATTTGCGTGCCCCGGCGTTCCCTGCCTTGCGCGGTTGGCGCCCCAAAGACTGCAGGAGCTCAGGAGCTCCAGGGCCCAGGGCTCGGGGGTGGCCAGTGAGAGAGATTCGAAGAGGATCGACCTGCGCCGAGGCACAGGACCTTGTGACCCTGTGGCGGCCTCCTGGCTTGCGAGCTCTTGCGGGGGCTGCCTTTTTCTCCCCCTCCTCCACTCCCAACTACACTTTGTATACATCACCGTGGCGAGAGTTTCTTTCAATCTGCCCTCGCCAATAGCGCATCAGCGCCGAGCAGTTCGAAGTATAAATACTTCAACTACTCCGCGCCTGGGCGCAGCCCGCTCGATAATTCGTAGGGTTTGGCGCGGATTAGTTTCCGATCCGGGTTTGGTGGGGTAACAGAGTCATCGGCTTTGGGTGGATCGGAAACTACCCGCCGAATGACGCAGTCATATGTCATATTAGAAATTTTTAGAGGGATAAGAGATTTCGCCATCATGGCAAATCCACAGCTGTGTACTGCTTGCCCTCTCCCCTGGACCTGCGCCGCCAGCCTCCCCAGCGGCAGTGCGCTCTATCAGCTGACGCGCGGAAGTCACGGGCGCGCTGCGCTGCCGCTTGCGTGCCTCCCCTGGGGCGGCCTGCTAATGCCAAACTTCGCCGACCCAGGAACTGCATCGAACTCATACTGAACGTAAATGTTCCGCACTTCCATGTTTTGCCGACTTCGACCACCTTTCCTCGCCATCGAACTTTAACATGTCCAACAGTTGCTCCATCAAGTTGCCTGGCCCAGAGCTTCATCAAGTGGTCCAAGATGGCCTGGCACGAAGAACGTTACGGCACCCAGACCGGCGGAGAGACGTTAGAAGCTCCACGCTGCCCAGCGAGGGGGGGGGCCGGGCCCTTGGAGACGCGGCCCCGTGAAGCGCTGCGCCGCCGCGGGCCACGGGGGGGAGGGGGAAGGCCCAGCATCGCGTGGGCCTCCGCGCCCCGCGGGGGGGGGATAAGAGCGCTGCTCGGGGCGCCGTCCCTTCGCCCCCCCCAGGAGGGCCGCGCGGCCCTGAAGTTCCCCGACGAGGCGGCCTACTTCGCGAAGCTCGTGTTGGAGCGCCCCGACGCGCCGCGGCGCGCGGCGCGTGCCGTCGCCGTCGCCGCCGGAGTCCCTCGGCGGCCCTCGCGCCGGAGTCCCCCGGCGGCCCTCGCGGCTTTCGGCGGGGGAGAAGGAGGTGCATGTTCTGTTTGTCAGCGGTATTTTGGGTTTGATGTGTGGCTGGGGTAGCCGATGAACTCATCGGAGCCTTCCTGGGCACAGCAAGGGTAGGAGAAGGCGCGCGGGGGGAATGATACCGCGGGCGGCGGAGCACGCTCAGACCGCAACGATCTTGCGCGCGTGCGCCAGAGCGCAGGCTTGGACGGGCAGCAAGCCAGGAGTGGCAAGGCGAACCTGCCAGAGATGCCGACAGTCGAAGTTGATGGTGGGGATCTGTTTTTCTTTTCAAGTGAGCCCCAGAGGGAGCTCCAGCGAAGGCCCTGGTGCCACCGCCCGCATGCGTCATCCACACCCATTCTGGCACACCCCTCACGCGTTTCGTGACCCCATAGGGAGCTCCACCGAAGGCGCCAGTGGCTGCGTTCGCATGCGCCCACCGGACAAATTTTGGTAAACCCTTCACACGTTTCGTGGCCCTATAGGGAGCTCCTCCGAATGCGGTGCAGACAACGCCGGCACTCACGACTGCATATGGTTGGGTCTTTCGCCAGGCTAATTTCAAGTGTACCCTTGCATCCGTGCCTCGTTGGCCCATCCTTAATTAACCACATTCGAAAGCCAGCCCCGCTCGACAAGCTTCGACATGGGCGTCCACGGGGCTTGCATCCTTATCGCGCATCCTCACAGTCAAACTTGACTGCCGCTGCCCGTCCTTCGTCGCAACGGCTGGATTCTAATCGAAGTTCTGGTTCGAGGAGGAGGAGGAGGTGGAGAGGTGGAGGAGGAGGAGGAGGAGGGGGAGGCGGAGGAGGAGGAGGAGGGGGGGGAGGATGATTTGTCTCCCAATCATCACTTGGTTGGACAAGGTGCGAGGCTCGAGTTTCTCTCGGGCGCCTTCGTCGGTTCCCAGCTGCTCCCAACGGCTTTCTTCCAGCTTTATGGGCGCTCTGCAGTAGCAGCGCCTCGCCTAGAGTTTAGCCGGGCATGTCCCTCTACAGGAGGAATATTCAAAAATAGTCAAACCTAGTTTGGATACGATTCTTCTTCCTTTTTTTGTTCATGTTTGAATATTTTGGTGACTATTTTTTACTTTTCGTCCACTATCCGCCTGTAGGAGGACACGCCCGACCTAAGCCTAGACCATTCCAGGGGTGCCCGAACCGTCCCAAAGGGCCCGCGGAGACCCGAGCTATGACCCGAAAGCCATACGACGCGGATCAGTCGGGTCGGACGCGAGGGGAGGGATGGTGAAAAAGGGAGTTTCTAAATCTGCCGCATGCAGCTGGTTTCGGCCCCACCGCCAGGCGCTTTCCTCCATGCATGGCCGCCCCTGGCGCCTGGAGGCAGGACTCATTTTGATTCGATCGGTCCCGGTCGGTATCGATTCTGACTGGCTCGATCCGATTCGGTTCCGACGTCTTGCCGGTCGGGTGCGGCCCGATGTTCGTATGGCGTCGTTGTGCGTTCTTGCGCGGTCGATCTGGTTCGCTTCCGACTCCGTACCGATGCAGCCCGATCTGACGCACATTTCCATTCCATCCGATCTCCCGATGTATTACTGGCTGATCTTGCCCCCCCGGCTGTCCTCGACTGGATTCGTGCCATGGGATGCAGCCGACTGCAACCGACATGCAAATCCAACTACAATGGACTTGCAAAGTTCCAGTTGCCCGTGCAGTCGACCTACAAATTCTTTTGAAAGCTCCTCAGTGCCCCAGACTTCCTGGTCAGTCGAACAGGTGTCCCTTATGTCTGCAGTTGTTGTTTCTCCGAGTCCCCGTCCTCCAGGATCGGCATGACGGAAAGCGGCGAGGAGGTGATTCGCCGTTTTCGGGCCCCTTGGGCCCTACCCGGGACCAGGGGACCGCTAAACATGGCTCGGCATGGAGCGTTGGTTTGGAGGAGTGCACTTGGGCCCAGGACCCGTTTCCACAAGGTCCCGTGTCCTTCATGTTCGGAGGAGGGAGGGAGGGAGGGGTGGAGGGGGGGTGGAGGGGGGAAGGGAGGGAGGGAGGAGGGGAGGGGAGGGAAGGGAGGGTATCGAAGAGAAGGAGGGGGCGGGAAGCGAAGCATCAGACGAGGAGGCGGGAGGCGTAGGACGAGGAGGACGACGAGCAGCAGCAGTAGTCCCACAAGGAGCAGAGGGGGGAGCTTCCCGTGAGGAGCAGCAGCATGGGGGGCCAGGAGAGGTGCCATTGGCCACGCGCGGGAGCGGCAGGAAGCCGTCGTCGCCCTCTCCGTCCTCCAGATGCCTCTCCCTCGGGCCTCGGCAAGAGGAGGAGGAGGAGGAGGCGGAGGAGGAGGAGGAGGAGGAGGAGGAGGAGGAGGAGAGGAGGAGCGAGCTGGAGGAGGAGGAGGGGAGGAGGAGGGGGCGGGGAGGAGGAGAGGAGGAGGAGGATGAGGAGAGAGAGAGGAGGAGGAGGAGAGGGGGAGGAGGTGGAGGAGGAGGAGAAGGAGGAGGAGGAGGAGGAGGAGTAGGAGGAGGGGGGTAGGAGGACCAGGAGGAGGAGGAGATGAATGATTAGAGAGGCGGAGGAGGAGGAGTAAGGAGAGGAGCAGGAGGAGAGGAGGAGGGGA